ATTTATTTATTTTTGTAATAAATATAGATATTTTAATATTTTTTTTAAATATCTATTGACTAAAAAATAATAATATTTTTAGGGTATTTAAAATTTTAATTTTTATTTAAAAACATAGATAATTTGAAATTATTTGTTAAAATTATAAAAATTTGTAATTTTATTTTTTATTTTTATTTGTCTTTAATTTGAAACAGGAAAAAATAATAGTTTCATAAGATGAACAATTTAGAAATATTTATCCCAACACAATAGGAGATGAAATAAATAAAAATAACAACAAAATCACAATCCACTGAATTACATAATAGGAACCTAGTTTAATGAAGTTTATTCCACACTATAAGGTGGTTGGTTATCTCTAGCTATTGGGGTATGTGTTGGTGTTGGATAATATTTTTGAAATCCTGTTGTTGTTGGATGTTGTGTGTTAGAAGTGGATGCACCAGATGAAGAATATTGGCTACAAAGAAATATTTTTGAATTTGCATGAAACCATTGCAAATATTCAAGAGTGTGTTGAAGAGGCCCTTGAAGTGTTTGCCCAAAAATAACATGTTTGCGTCTATCTTTCTAAATAGAAATCCAGTCTGCATGTTATTGAGCCTAGTTGGTGTCACTGTGTCCTCTCATGTCAATTTCGTGCATTTTATCAAGATTATGTGCTTCATTAGGGATTGATTGCCAAAAGCCAAATTGCAATTGAACTCTGTCACTTTGAAGCCAGACTATAACTGCAAATGAAGTTAAAACAGTACAAAAATCCATATTCTGGAATCCTTGTAAGCACGTGTTGGTAATGAGGACTCAAATCCCCTATATGGCATCTCGTGGTTGGATGAAAGACATGCGATACCAAGCCCAAGATTGCAAAAGTAAAGAACATCCACCCATTTTCTTGGATGATGGATAAATCGCCCTACACATTTCTCTGTACAAATATGCCAAACAAGCAGAACCTCAACTATTGTTGAGATTTCCGTTGAAATAACTTTTGTTCTTATCTTAAATCATCTTAACCCTGACAACGGACTCAAACACGACAAGTATACCGGCTGTTCAAGTAGTAAATTTATCGTATCCACATGGACTAGTAGGTAAAATAAGCATTTATTGACTATTCATAACTAAAGAATAATTTCATTTTCATAGATTGTCATGCAATTTTGAATTAAAGGTTATGACTATTGGAATGTTAAACTATAAAACTATTTGTTTTGTGTGTGGAAAGGGTAGAAATGGTATTGTGGTTTTGTAAGATTGTGGGGTTAGATATCATCGAACTACACACTGATGAATCTTTAATCTCTTGTTACATTCATTTCCCACTAGGCATTTGTTTCAGAACTAGTTTCAATGATTATTTTTCAATACCCAATGGACTCTATATCAAGCAAAGGAGGATCAATCCAAAGCAAACATAAAGAATAGAAACATATGGGTTAGCTATAGGTTCCCAATCCTATGGGTCTTCTATCCTCAATTCTCTAACTCAATACCTGCACAAAAAATGAGGTGTATCAAGGTATTGTTAGCTAAATTTTGGGTTAGTTATATCTGCATAAAAAATGAATCAAAAAGAGAACAATTATGTTGTAAGAGTGCATGGGGTGAGTGGAATTGTTCAATAATTCCTATCTAAACATATGTATAAATGAGACTTAACAACTATATCGTCCTGCACATTCTAAGTCAGCCAAAAGTGGTAAATACGTTAAGTAAAGTCTGTTACCTGACTTGTCTGGCATTATTACACCACCAATCAACCCTAAGATATATGTCATACAATGTTGGTGCAATTGTTGTTCAGTGGGTTCATCTGGTAGTGCAATTGTATGATCTCTTAACCATTTTAGTTTTATGGTTGAGCCAATTAGAGCTTCCCCTTTTGGAGGTATAAAGCCAAACAACTCATAAATGCATGCGCGTCAGGATTCCAACAGTGTGTTATTGATTCAGAGTATCATTGATTCAGGATGTCATTGATTCAGAGTATCATTATTTTGTTGTGTAATTTTCACAAATGTAATATTATGTAATTTTAATTTATTTAAAATTTTAATTTGATTATGTATGTTTCACAAATATTATCTCAATTTCACTACAATTTTATTTATATTTAATTATAAATGCAAAAAATATAAATTATATAAAATTTAAAATATTACAAATATAAGTATAATATTAATTATGAAATTAAAAATAAATTATAATTAAAATATTAAAATATCTATATTTATTAAAAAAATTAAATTATTAAATAGTTCAAAATATTAAATTACCAATATTAATTAAATGACATTGAAATAATTAAATTAAAAAATTAAATTATTAAATAATTCAAAATATTATATTACCAATATTTATTAAATGACATTGAAATAATTAAATTATAAAATATATTAATTTATAAATTTAAAATTTTAATTATAACTAAAATAATTTTTAAAATATTAAAAAAAACTAAAAAACAAATTAAAAAAAATGACCCAATGAGAAATCGATTTGGCAAACACCAATTTCTCAAAGGGGTGTTCAATATTTTAATAAAAACTAAATTGAGAAATCATTTTCCCGTTGATTGACTTTTCACTACATAAGAAAAACGGTATATTTACGTAAATAAAATTTACTTTGAAATATTTACAAAAATATTAAAATAAAATGATATATAAAAAAAAAGTTCTTATTTTGATAGTATGTGAAAATTAAAAAAAAATGTGTGAAAGAAAAGAAAAAAAATAACAAATTAAAAGTTAAAGGTGTAAAATTATAAAATCTAGGCTAAATACCTATTTTGGTCCCTTATAATCTTTTTTTGTTTCAATGTAGTCCCTCATTAATTTTTTGTCTCAATTTGGTCTCAAACTAATTAATTGGTTTCAATTTAGTCCCTAATAAATTAATTAGTTTCAATGTGGGACTTCCGTCTAAATTTCTTTAACGGAGTTAACTGTTGCATAGGTGGATGCCACGTGGATGCATAGGTGGATGCCACGTAAATGCCACGTGGATCCCAATTTTTTGAAAACACCTGGAACCAGAACGGCCCGTTCTGTTCTGGTTGGACTTTTGGTGTGTTAATTTTGCATCCGGAACGACCCGTTCCAGGTGCAAAATTAACACACTAAAAGTGCAACCAGAACGGCCCGTTCTGGTTCCAAACTGCTAAACATAAACGATCAATGATTATAGTTCACGGTTGTGAATCATGGAAGGAAAAAGACCCAAGGTACAAAGCATTTCAAACACTGAATTTGGTAATATTGTCAATGGAAATTGATAACTTCAATTGCTAAACAGTTAGGCTATACAACGTATTATTAAGGATAATGCAATGTATCAGTAAAGGATGAACCACTTACTACCAAATTGACACTATACAGTAAAGGATGAAATGACACTATACAGTAAATGATGACATGACATTATTAATTATATTTTAATTATGTTGTTATATCTAATATAATAAATATATTAATATTTTTTTATATATTTTATTTTATTGTTTAATTGTTTTTTATTTTGTGGTAAAATTATTTTCATTTTTAATGAAGAAAAAATTTACTTACTTCAATAGTAAGTCTTGATAGATTTATTCTATTTAATAATTAATGTTCTATATCAAATTTTTAAGAATTTAATTGTTAAATTAAAAAGTTTTTCATGTATAGATCAAATTTATAAAAAAATTTAAAAAATTAAAAATCATATAATACTTCGTTAAATTAATTCAAATTAACATATAAAATATTTTTATTTTAAATGAATGTAAAAATTTAGAGGACACTAAAAGAAAATAAATTAATAATTTTATTATGTTTATCCTATTAATTTTTATCATTTTATTCCTCTAATTTTAAATAAGTTACAAAAAATTATAAAGTGACACTTAAATATTTCTTCAGATAGAAAGAGAAAAAGAAAAAGTTATTACTCTATTTATAAGGCAATTGTATTTTATAAAAATAAGTAATTTTAAAATTTTAACCATAAAAAAATATTTTTCAAAATTATTACATTTTTTAATAAAATTAATAAATAATATTTTATTCTCAGTTTTGGAATCAGAACGGCCCGTTCTGAAACCAGAACGACCCGTTCTGGTTTCAGAACGGCCTGTTCTGGTGTACTCTTATTGTGTAAATTTTTCATTTGAAACGACCGTTTCCGATGCAAAATTAACACACCAAAGCGCATCCAGAACGGCCCGTTCTGGTTTCAAAACGGGCCTTTTTGGTTCCAGGTGTTTTCAAAAAAAATTTCATCCACGTCGCATTTACGTAGCATCCACCTATGCATCTAGGTGGCATCCACGTGGCCAATAGTTAACTCCGTTAAAGAAATTTGGACGGAAGTCCCACATTGAAACCAATTAATTTATTTGGGACTAAATTGAAACCAATTAATTAGTTTGAGACCAAATTGAGACAATGAGAAACTACATTGAAACAAAAAAAGATTATAAGGGACCAAAATAAGTATTTAGCCTAAAATCTATAAAAAAAACTATAATGTTTTATAATTAAAAAAAAAGTATAAAAGAGATGTACTTATTAAAAAAAGGAAGGTGTATATATCATGAACAATAGTGAATTAGGGACACAAAATTTTTTGGTATATGTGTGTTTGGTTTCAATTTTTAAACGCAAGTTCTTCATCTCTCTTCACGTCTAATCATCAATTTTTGTTTTTTACCTTTCTGTTAAACGTGAAAAATCACGTTTTGAACACGGCAAGTCCACTTGCCCTAACTCAAAACTGAAAGGGATTTGGGTGTTGCATCGATAGACGGAAAATGTTGATTCGACGTTTGCCTTGGACGGCGATTTCCATGGCAGCACCACTTCCCTCCTTTTCCGGCGCCACCACCGGATTTTGCATTCCCATTCGCAAGCAACTTTCCTCTTCTCTCTTCTCCTTCTGCTCTACCTCCGGCGTCAATCTCCCTCTGCAACATGTAATTTGTAATTTCATCTTCATTCCATGCCTAGGGTTAATTCGTTCCATTCCTCGCATTACTCACCGAATTTGATTTTCCATTCGTAGGGTCACGAAGCCGATACTCGTCATTCGCAGTCTCTGAAACCCGGTCTTTACCTCGTCGGAACACCGATCGGAAATCTCGAGGACATCACTCTGAGGTGCGTTTATATTTTCCTCATTTCTCTTTGGCGTTTAAGATTAACAGCTATCACGTTTCGTTTGATGTGCACGCGCAGGGCTCTTCGCGTGCTGAACTCCGCTGACGTCATACTCTCAGAAGACACGAGGCACTCTGGGAAGTTGCTTCATCACTACAACATCAAAACACCTCTTGTAAGTTGTAAGCCCCAACCAATCGTTATTGCAACGTGTGGTTGCTTTCCAATTTGCCGTTTCTAATGCGCTTTTGTAGCTCTTCAGATGAGTTATCACAAATTCAACGAATCTCAAAGGGAACAGGTTGTGCTTAGGAGGTTGAAGCAGGGTGAGATTGTGGCTCTTATAAGTGATGCTGGAATGCCAGGCATCAGTGATCCTGGTACGGAGTTGGTAAGTGTGTTTTTGCTCTGGAATTTTTTTTTATATATAATAATGTGTCTGCTTGAATAAACTTTTTCGTAAGCACTTTTATGAGAAAAAATAGGGAAAAAAAAATGAAATATGTTTCTTCGATAGCTAAAATTAACTTTTATGTATTAGTTATTTGAAGAAACTCTCTCATGTTAGCTTCTTCACAAAATTACTTTTAGCTTATGCATAATCTAGTTTTAGCTTATGGAGAAGATTTTTTCATTTTTCAATATCTCTATGTTTTTTTGAGTGTGTTTGGTGACGTGGAGGTTTTGTAATCATCAGGAACGTTTTTAAATTTGATGCAGGCCAAATTGTGTGTTAGTGAGAATATCCTGGTTGTTCCAATCCCTGGTCCCTGTGCTTTGGTGTCGGCTCTTTCTGCCTCGGGTTTACCTACTGATGAATTTACATTTGGTAATAATCTGGGTAAACTGAATTTTGGCTTTTATGGTATGTTGGAACCTAAAACGGCTGTTGTGGTGTTTAATTTGATAGTTGGTTTTCTTCCTAAACATTTGGGGTCGAGAAGGAAAAGACTTATGGTTTCGGCTGATCAAACTACAACACAGATATTTTATGTTCCTCCTCACAAGCTTGTTCAGTTCCTCGAGGAGAGTTCTTCAATTTTTGGTGATGCAAGGTACCGAGAGTTGGCTTAATGCGATGCTTACTTCCATGATATACAACTGTCAGCCTTTTCTTTTAATCACTATACTTTTTGTCTCCCCTGAGTCCCCTCTCGAATTTTGCAGCTGGAAAAAGCAATATATTAATCATTGAGGTTCTGAACCATGATCTGTTTGTTTCTCTTATCATTCAACTTCAGCGTGAATTTTTATATCTTATGGCTTATGCATTCTTGTTCTTGCAATAAACGGAAGGAAGTTGCACTAATGATACTTTTTCTTCAAAACCTTCCTTTGGGCAATACTAATGGAAGATCTTAGTTCTTAGAGGTGTGGCTTGGGGAACGTTGACTATAGATTGGTTGACTCTTCAATTTCATGATATTGCAGGCAATGTGTTATTGCTCGGGAAATGACTAAATTTCATGAAGAGGTAAGCTTAGCATTTAAGTCTCAGAAGTCTGTATTCTATAGGGGTGGCAACCTTGCTTCATCAGTTCATAACTTCAAACTCCATGAAAGGAATAAAGTTGTTGATTTTGCAGACTACATTTTACTTAATTTGTGGTGATACGAACAAAGGGGCCCATCAGCTTTTTGGCTCTTTACATGTCCACACCAATGGAATTCATTAAATAAAGTTTTAGCCATAGATGGTGTTTTGTTATAGCATTATTTTTTTCCATGTATGTGACTGTTTGAGATAACTATTTTTCTTATGAAAAAAACATATTTTTTATGTCGTGCTAGAAAATTTAATTATTCAATAACTACAGTTACCTTAGTATGCCTGACTTTGAGATTTCAAATTACTACTTTGATACTTGATGTTTGCTTTTAGCATGCTTTTATTTGTAGAATTTTGTAAATAGTTTGTTTAATCAATATGTATTATTCTTGTTCTCATGATATTTTCTTGACTGACACAGTAGATATTGCTTCTGTAGTTTTGGCGTGGTACTCTCAGTGAAGCCAAGGAAGTATTTTCTGTTCGTCAAGTGAAGGGAGAACTTACCATATTGGTTGAAGGGAAAGCAAATTCTAAAGTTGAACCTCCATCAGACATTGAGCTGGAGAGCGAACTAAGAGAACTGATTGCAAGTGGCGAGAGTCTCTCCACGGTAATAGCCTCCTTATATTTGTATTCTTTAAATTTTAGTTTTAATAGAAGCTTGATATAGATAAAAGAAATAAAGCCTTGGTCCATGATTTAAATAAGTCAAGCTAATGAAAATGGTTGTGGATTTGGAGATATCACATATGTAGTCCAGTGTGGCCCTGCAAAACTGATTATTAATTTCTCAAGCTTTACAGTTATAAGAAACAGGGAAAGAGAAAAAATAAAAGAAGTT